CGCTTACCTTTGGTGACGCCTACGAAGCTCGCTTTGAATCGCTTTTGTTTTGCCCGTGATGATCCCGTCCCTCCTGGCTTTGAACCGCGTTGCTAAAATCAGGCTTTCGTTGTGTCGTGCTGAACGTGAACGCGTGCAATGCGTCCCGCATCCTTCTCATTCCATCAATGACGAGATGTTTGCTCCGCCAACCGTGTCTGATTGCTCATGCCGCTGCACCGCTTTTTTGCGTCCATTGGAGGTGGTGTATTTAGCATGTCCTGCGAGTCAGTTTTTCCCTCCATGTGCCTGCGCGGTGAACCTAGACCTGCGAATGCTGTTTATGTCGGTCATTTTGTGACTCCTGATTTTGGGGATGTGCCGGAATGACCATGGCAAAACTTGGTGTCGGAAGCAGGAAAGCGGTCGGGTTTTGCAATCATCCGCTAAAACAGGCGGAGTGTGCTGAAGTCCTGGCAGTGTCGGGTGTATTGCAGGCGAAGTTGCAAGCGCCATGTGGGAGTTGCGGTGACCAAACGTCGAGAAGTCATTCAGCTAGATTGCGATGCAGCAGTTGCCGTTGGTTAGACAAAATCCACTGGCGGTAATCGCCATGAGAAGCAAAATCAAGAGCCGAGGGAAGGGAGGCCTCGAGTGCTGCCGAAGAAGCCGGCAGTTGGAAGTTGGTCCAGTTCTGTTTGCGCCGATGTCGATGCCATGAATCGATGAGCGGGAGATCGATGTGTGCTGAGCCAGTGGGTTGGTAATCACCAAGCGAAGCAAGCCTAGAAGGTAGGTGAGCGACCGCCAATGCGTCGCTTCTCGCTGCTGTCGAAACAGAAACGCCGGATGGAAAGACCGCCCACCACAGGCCGGCGCAACTCCCAAAAGCACCGAGGAAGTGGCGGCGCAAACTACCAGACACAACACGAGGAAGTGTCGGCTGTGCACTAGAAAGTCGGATGGATGGGTGGATGATAAAAGACCACGGAATGAGCCAACTTGGATGATGATTGAATGAACGTCCATGATAGTGCGCCGGGATAGAATAGGAGATGATTGATTGATTGATTGATTGATTGATCGATGAAGCCGAAGGACAATTCAAGTCACGATGCATCCAAGCACCCAAAACCCAAGCCAAATGGAAAAGTAGCAAAGAGAAGAAAGAGTCGTTTCTTGTCGAGTTCCAAAAGAAAAGGGAGAAGGAATAAAACGGTTTCAAATGGTTGCTGCTGTAACGAATAGTGTGTGGTGAAGGGTTTACATTCCCAGATTACGACATGCTGGAAACCGTCAGTGCTCGGCTTGGCAACAACGACTTGGTGGGATTTGTGGGGGAGGGGGAAGCATGAGAAAGGGCGCTCTGGACGCCGAACAGGAGTTGCAGGCAGGAGCAAGGAGAAGACATGGGTCAGACAGAAGTACCGGTACATGGAGGAAACCTGCATGTCTGGGTGGCCCAGGAGGCGGGCGGACGGGGTGAGGGAGGGTGAGCGAGCGGGCAAAAGAGATAAAAAGGGCAAAAGCAAGCCGTTGATTGGTCACATCCGGCTCACAGTGCGGCGCCCCAAACGACAAAGACAAGAGGACCCGCCGCCACAAGATTAGCGTGGGTGCCTTAGGCGACATAGCGCAGACTGGGCAGAAAATTATAAGTAGCGGGCGCTCCCTCCAACCCATTGTTTCGAGAGTCTCGCGCGGAAGTCCCGACCGGCCCTGCGTATCCGATACCTGCGTTCGGCCTTCAATTCTTTTCATTTTCCCCACCACCACAACCACCACACCCCTCACCTCCAATCCACTTCCATCCAGAGAAGCTCGGCCCCGCCCGTCACGCATCACGCACATCGTCGTCGTCGTCGCTGTCAACGGGTATCCAAGAAAGAAGAAGATCCAACGAACCACAACCAGCACAGCATCTCATCACTGCTGTCGTGCGTTCAACGTTTTACTCTCAAATCATCTCTCTCTACCATCCGCCGTCACCGTCACTGCGTTGTGTGGGCGCATCTCTCTCATTTAGGTTAAGGGGTTAATCACAGTCAGTCGGCCGTCAGACAGGAGATCCGATCCTCTTTCCGGACAAAGGACCACACATTCCCGTCGCCCTTTGCCCTGCAAAAGAATCCGGCCTCCTCCGTCCGTCGTCGACCTACTTCGTCTTAGGCGTCGAGGATAATAGAAGATTCAGTTCGTTGCACAGGCCACAGTGCAATCGCTTTACCATCTCATCATCATCTTGCCTTAGCTATCCCGGTTACGGTCATCAATTGCCGTGAGCTGTTCAGTGTGTTCGTCCCGACGTAACAAGAGGAAGACATCAGTCATTTCGACATCCGTCTACTACCGCCTACCGTCAGGTCGTCAAAGCATCACCGTCGAGCCACCGCGATACATATCCAATCCTCTTGACGCATCGTCGATTGAAAGATCTCGAAAGCGTCACACACGAGTGTTTGCTAGGAAAGGAACAGCATAGTGTTGGGGGAGACATTAACTTGTTCATCTCCCGCATTTGGTAAGCTCTCCTCAGCCCTCGTTCTCCCCGTCCCGTCCTCTTGCGTTCCACACCTTGCCTTTTTGCACTATACACTGCGTTGAGGTTTAGTCGAGCCTTGGCAGCCATTTCATTGTCCATCTGGCAGTGAATAGGTTGGATTGTCATTCACTGTCGTCAACGCGGCTGCCCCACTCTCCAGTGACAAACCGGCCCACATATAAAATAACCATTTCTCGTGCCCTTGAAATTCTTTCCCCCAAACAACCACAAACTTGCACTTTGGTTTTTCCACTCGATCAGCCTTCGGCACACCCGCGCAATCTTGCACTGCACTTTCGCTCATTTACCAACTTTTATTACGGTAATTCTAATAAAGCGCTGGCCGCAGATCTGTTCAAGAACGCAGAATCCCAAATCTCAGACTCGCGCTCAGATTTGATTCAAGATGGAGGCTATTCAGACCCACCCGTCCAACGCCGCTCAGGCGAAGGCTTTCACTGCACCCGGTTCCCTGTCCTTCCCCGGTGCGGCTGGCGAGCTCACACCTCCCACGTCCATCGCGAACAACGACAAGGGCGCCGCGGTCAACGGAGCCGCCGGTGCACAGGCCGCCAACGGCAATGGGGTGACACCCGCAACCCCCGCGGCTACGCCCGCAGCGAACCAGGGTCCCACCAGTGGCATGACCCCTACTCTACAGTAGGAAGACCTCTCTGATGCCTTTTTTTCTTCTCAAGGGGCTGTGGGCTGACCCAAACAGGAACATCGTCGCGACGGTTAACCTCGATTGCCGTCTTGATCTCAAGACGATTGCCCTGCATGCGAGAAACGCCGAGGTACGTTGATGATGGGTTGGATTGCGGGGTCCCTTGAGTATTTGTTCTGTCTGGCCCAGGTTGTCTAACAGCCGCAAACAGTATAACCCCAAGCGTTTTGCTGCGGTTATCATGCGTATCCGCGAGCCCAAGACCACCGCCCTGATCTTCGCATCCGGGAAGATGGTCGTTACCGGTGCCAAGTCCGAAGATGACTCGAAGCTTGCGTCGCGCAAGTACGCTCGTATCATCCAGAAGCTCGGCTTCAACGCCAAGTTCACGGACTTCAAGATCCAGAACATCGTCGGTTCTTGCGACATCAAGTTCCCCATCCGTCTCGAGGGTCTTGCTTCCAAGCATCACAACTTCAGCTCTTACGAACCCGAGTTGTTCCCTGGTCTCATCTACCGCATGATCAAGCCCAAGATTGTGCTCTTGATCTTCGTCAGCGGTAAGATCGTCCTTACCGGCGCGAAAGTGCGTGAGGAGATCTACCAGGCCTTCGAAATGATCTACCCTGTGCTGCAAGGTTCGTTTTTCACCCCTGTTTCCCGTTGCTTTGTGTCCATTGTCGCTAACTGATTATCTCCAGATTTCCGCAAGGTCTAAAGATCTTGATTGAAATGTGCACTTGGTGGATCATCGCCATCACTCACCCCCTCAAAAAACATGTCGACAACTGTATTATACCCACACAAAAACACACCCACATCATGATTTCACGACGAATCTTACCCATACCCATCACAAATACCCGAAAATCACTTTTCTTGCGACTCGCGGTTTGCGTCTACTACGACACTCATCAAACGGAGTACGACGCTTGAGTCGACAGGAAAAAAACCATTGTATCAATGTCCTGTTCATTTTCTTGCGGTTACGTTCATCATTTTATTTTCCACACAAGCAGCATTGCAGCGGCGTTCGGGTTCGACAAAGAAGGGAGAAAGAGCGGTGTTCTTGCTACGTTATTTCAAGTCGAGGCGGTTTTTATCTCCTCTCGGCGATTCTTACAACAGCCATAGAGCAGATCGCGCATTGGGGGGAAGAAGAAGGAGAGTGGTCAACAGCAGTGGTTGATTGATGACACAAACTGCATGCGCTAAGCGGGTTTAATGTTATCGGCGGCAATGTTGCGCAGGTCGATTGCCGTTCACTACCTTTTTTTTTTATTACAACTGCAACTCACATACCCACTTCTAATGGCAGATGGGGACCCAACCTGGGAGAGAAGAAGGAAAGGGTCACTGCGAACAGTTGAAGCAGAGGGGATGGAGAGGGAGGTTGGCTTTCTGCGGGTTGACGTTTGAGAGTTGGTCACCCAAAGGAAACAAAAAACAACCACTAGCGACACCCGCGATCTCGTGTCTGGCATGACAAAAAAGGTCAACCGACAGGGAGGATTCAAAGGGTCGCAGTAGGAACACAAAAACTCTGGCAGGGTGGGAATTTTAATCTCACTTTGCGTAACCATCATCCCGCTAAATAGGGAGAGGTTCAGCTTTGCTTGGCATTTTATGACGGCGCGCACACGTATGTTGCGTTTGTTTTGTCTCGTGGGTTAACATATCGATCCACTGCAATGCCAACATTTATTCAACTTTCTGTCCTCGTGCAAGTCTTTTGTCGTGATGAATCATGTTGCTTACCTGCATGTGAACCTCTCTCGCGCCCCACGTATGTTCTCTCCTTGTCCCCCCTCTTTAGTTTACAGCCCTCCCCAACTCCGTAGACAAGATCAACCCAGGTATACCGCCACGGCTACCATCCTCCGTAATCACGGCCTTGATGGCAGCATCGCCAGCGGGATACCTCCAGTTCCACTTGCCCACGAACTCGGGTGGACACTGACCAGCAATGACATCGGCAATCTTCTCACCTATGACTGGCATGAACTTGAACGCATGTCCGCTGTCGCCAGTGGCCACGAACAGGCCCTTGTATTCGGGGTGGTAGTCGATGATGAAGTCCGCCGTCGGAGTATCGGAGTACCAGCAGATGCGAGTCTTACTGAAGGGTCTGTCGCGAAGCGAGGGAAGGGGAACCATCTCATGAAGAGCGCGGCGGAGGTCATCGGCGCCTTCAGTGGGAATCTGGAGTATAGGATCGGAGAGAGTCGTCAAAGGAAGGGAGATGGCCGCTGCCGAGGCAGTAACGGAGGAGCCGAGAGGAGGTGTGAACAAGGTCGTGGGGTTCAAGTACCCGTAGGCATGTCGAGCGATCTTGAGGACGCCGTTCTTGGGCGGGATGACAAAGAGGCCTGAGGAGAGGTTGAGAATGACGGGCATGTGGGCCAGCTGAGCCTCTTCCTCGGGCGTGAGGTCGATGTAACCGAGCACTTGGCCGGTAGCGATGGCTTGTCCTGTCAGGTCAACGAGACGACCGGTCCATGCGCCAGCGGAGACCATGACGAGGTCGGCGGAGAGGACGCGGCCGTCTGAAAGCCGGGCGCCGGTGACGGTGTTGCCGGAGACTTCCAGGTTGGTCACCTCGCCGGCGACGAAGTTGATGCGGCCCTCGGCCCTGACGCGCTTGTAGAGCCAGGCTATGGAGGCGCCAGCGTTGGCCCACCCGGATAGACCGTTGATGTAGCCCCAGGAGCCGGAGGAACCGCCGGTGCCCAAGGCTGCCTTGATGGCCTCGGTGTTGGGGCACTCTTTGATCCTGGCGGCAAGTTCAGGGTCGCTGGAAGCGATTGAGAGGACGTTGGCCCAGCTGAAGCGGGCATAGTCCATTCCCGTGAGCTTGGACTTGTCGATGACAGTGGTGCCAGTCACCACGGGAGTTCCCAATGAAGGAGCTGGTCCGTCGGCGACAAGGAGGAGGCCACTCTCGGAATAGCGTCCTTCTGACCCAAGGTCATCGGGGTGGGTTTGTTGGCGCCATTGAAGCTGGGCTTCGGCGGCTAGGGCAGCGTAGGCAGCATCGGGGTAATCAGCTCTGATGATGCGGCTGGTGTCGACACTGGCAGCGTCGGGAGCGGGGAAGACGTCTGGGTTAGACGGGTCGGCCCTGTCTACGACGGTGATGGTGGTGTTGGCGAAGTCATGACGACGAGAGAGGGCGTAGGCAGTGGTCAAGCCAAAAACGCCAGAGCCGATGACGAGAATGGAAGAAGGAGGAGAAAGAGCGGAGGAAGAGGACGACGACTGCTGGGGTGGCAGTGGTGGTTGATGCTCTGTTGAAGAGAGAGGAGGAAGAGAAGAGGAGGGAGCTGAGGGAGTCGCCATCGGGAAATGAGGAGACCAAGGCTCAACTCTGGAAGAATGAAGCGGCAGGGGACGTCAGAGGAAGAAAGGATCAACAAAAGGACCGTGCCAACTGAGGGGGTCCGGGTCTGAGTGGTCTGAGGTAGGCTTGTGCAATGGTCGCGCCTTGTCGAGTTGTGCGAGAGAGTGCGTGTGCTGTGTGCCCTTTCTGTGTGTGGGAGTGGTCGGCCGTGTGCTGGCACGCTCTTTGTTGCTGGTCCAAGACTGGATTGTGCACCGAGACCTCTGTTCCTCTCTGTCTATAGCAAGAATGTGATGTTTCACACCGGGGAGCAGAAAACATAGAATCACTTGAAACCAGCAGATAACGGAAGAAAAAGGAGAGGCATTTTTATGGAATCCATCAGTGACCGTTAGACCACACTAGTAGCCCAAGAGCCGAGATAGGAGGCAACCCAAAGAAAGAAAGGAACCAAGGTGGAGCGATAACAAGCGCCGGCGTGTGTTGTTGCGGGAGTTGGGGAGTCAAGATCAGCGACTGGAGCGAGTGAAAAGGAGGAGAAATCGGAAGTGAGGAGAAGGGGTCCAGTTTGCAAGGGATATGACCGTATGGCGGCGGGGACATTGCAGTGCTTGATCAAAGGAAGGGCGCTGCAACTCCAGAACGGTGGAGTCTTCTTTGATGAAACGCAGAACCTGAGTGGTGAAGGAAACGCGGGGAAGACAAGCAACTTGTGACAATTTGCAGATGACGGAGGGTCCTTATTAATGTTGGCTCTGGAGGGAGGTGTTGGTTCTGACAAGTTCCAGTCTCGTGAAAGAGAAGAGAAGAGAAGTCGGTAAGAAAAGAGAGGAGAAACAGACAAACAGACTGGTGGTAGTAGAAATCGGAAGACGGAAGATTAATAGAATTAAAAGACAGACGATGGCGGGGATGCCGTAAGCTGAGCGCTGGACGTCCGGCTCTTTTCTTGGGTATCCCTTGCTTGCTGCAGGGCATCGACAGCATTGCTACGATTTCTGCCAGCTGTTTCTGAGCAGAGAGAAAGTGTCAAGAGTTGTGGTTGGATAATAATCACAATGGGGTGCATCACGATCGTGCAATGTGCTTGACCATGGATCACGAGATGGCGGGTGGTGGCAGCCATCGTGAGGGGACATCAGTTTGATTTGATCCCGACTGTCCGGTAAATAGCCCGAGAGAATCCCTCCATTCTCTGACAAGCTCTTGTCGACAGGTGCCCGTCAATGTTGGACAAGCTAGATTCCATCGTTTAGAACTTCTGAGTCTGACTAACACTCTGGCTTACACACCGGATCGCGCCATTTTCGGAGGTTCCGAGCCCAATCCAAAGGCCTTTGGACACTCAAGAGCCGGTCGAGCCGTGAAGCATGTAAGATGGATCAGATGCTGAGAGGACATTCAATTTTGGAAGACAACTTTCGAGATGCTCAAGGTGGAATTGAAGATTGTCGACGACGGGATGCCAATCACACATCGTTAAGGACGGTGTAAGAGAAATTGTAAAATATTTGTATTGAATTCCTAGATAGTCCTAATCACCTTACAGTACCCGTATAATACCTGGTGAACCATGCCCCACAGGCCACCCGCAGCTACGAGCCTAGCGCCCTCGCCTATCGCGACGAGAGCCACTCTGCAGTGCACCGCGTTCGTCGCTCCAGGTTCCGAGTCGCATCAGTACACCTTGCTGTCCACGAAAAGCCAGCACCGTCATTATTCGTCGTCGCAGCCAGCCATGCCCAATCGATACACGGCTGCCAAACATGTCGTCGTCCAAGAAGATTCCCGAATTTCCTGACGTGGAGGAAAAGCTCAAGAGGGCCACCAAGCAGTCCGCATTCGAGCGCCAAAAGGCAGAGGCAGAGGCCAAGCGCCGCAGAGAAGCTGCTGAAACGGCCGCCGTCTACGAGGACTTTGTCAAGAGCTTCGACCACGACGACGATACTTCCGATTCACGACCCTCGAATTCGCGATATGGAAACGACCGACCAGAGAGACCAACACTGGGAGGACAGGCGTTTGGAGGAACGGGCAAGAGACACTTTGGCGTCAACAGTCTCAAGAGTGGTCCCGGCAGTCTAGGGCCACCTCCAACATCGTTAAAGAGTGGCCCTGGCAGTTTAGGACCTCCTCCAACATCCTTCAAAAAGAGGTCATACGATGACTTCCATTCCAGTCGCCAGAGACCTCACGATGAGTCGAGGTCAAGACCAGAATTTGAGGAGAGAGAGAGAGGTAGGGATAGGGATAGGGATAGGGATAGGGAGAGGGACTTCGAGAAGAGCTCTTTGCCCGTGTCCAAGGTTTTCAATGATAGCGACAACGAGGAAGAAGCGACCGTTAACGGCCGAGCAGAGGAAAAGGCCGTCTCGAAACCCACACTACGCCTTTCCAACCTCCCGCCGAGCACATCACCAGCCGTCATCAAGGCGCTAATACCACCCAACTTGACGGTTGAGAGCGTCAAGATTGTTCCGCCATCGGGCCCCCAAGGGACAGAGCGCAAGTCTATTGCAGCTATTGTTACCCTCTCCAAGGAAACACCCGCAACAGACATCGATGCCGCCGTGAGCGCGCTACAAAATCGCTATCTCGGTTACGGTTACTTCTTGTCTCTGCATAGACACCTGTCGTCGGCCGCTATAGCGTCAGGCTTGACGGCCATCCAGACTTCTACAACAGTGTCACATCCGTTCGGCGCAAAGCGGGTAGAGGAAAAGCCAAGTGGCCATGGCCCGCATCACGGAGGCTATGGTCGCAACTATGCTCCCCCATCGCATTATGGTCCTCCAGGGGCCGCTATTAGCAGAAGTGGTCTGCTCCATGTTCCCGTAAAACCTCCACGAGACATCAGGACACTCCGGATGATCCACAAGGTGGTAGAGTCCGTCCTGGAGCACGGACCAGAGTTCGAGGCTCTTCTCATGTCCCGACCAGACGTCCAACGAGAAGAGAGGTGGGCGTGGATCTGGGATGCTCGCAGCGAGGGTGGCATATGGTATCGCTGGAGGCTATGGGAGATCGTGACAGGTTCCCAAACAAAAAGGGGGAAGCCGAAATACGTGCCCCTGTTCGAAGGAAGCCATGCCTGGAAAGCACCCGAGCCTCTCGCCTACGAGTACACAACATCGGTTGACGAGATTGTCTCGGATTCAGCCTACGACACGGACGAAGAAGACGACTTTGAGGATGAACAGAAAGAGCACAACGACCAAGAAGATACCTTCCTCAACCCCATAGAAAAGGCCAAGCTAGCACACATGCTAGCCCGCCTACCTACAACACTTTCCAAGATCCGAAAGGGAGACATCGCCCGCATCACCGCATTCGCCATCACCCACGCCAGCCGCGGCGCCGACGAAATTGTCGACATGATCATCTCCAACGTCGAGTCCCCGTTATCCTACACGCCCGCCAACCCCGACCACCAACAACACTTCCGCGAACGCGAAGGCCAGGACGGCAACAACAACAACAACAACTCCCGCGAAACCTCTCCCGCACCGGCAGAAGATAAAGACAAGGAAAAGACCAACGATTCCACCCACGACCTAAGCGCCGCCCGACTGGTTGGTCTCTACGTAATCAGCGACGTCCTCTCCTCTTCCTCCACCTCAGGAATCCGGCACGCCTGGCGCTACCGGCAACTCTTTGAGACCGCTTTACGCGCCCGCAAGACGTTTGAGCTGTTGGGCATGATGGCCGACAAGCTCAACTGGGGCCGCCTGCGCGCAGACAAGTGGAAGCGCAGCGTCGGCCTTGTCCTCAGTCTCTGGGAAGGGTGGTGCGTATTCCCCGTCGAGACGCACGAGTTCTTTGTCAATAGCTTTGAGAACCCACCTACGCTAAAGGCGAAGGAAGCGCAAAGGGAGGAGGCTGAGAAGAAGGCTGCTGCTGCTGCTACGGGTGGTGGGAAGTGGAAGACTGTTGATGGTGGGCCTGCTGCCACTACTATGACTCAAGCTAAAGCTACTGGTTTCTTACCGGTGTCTACACTCCCAGAGACATCTACCCCAGTCGATACGGAAGCGGGTGCCGATTCAGAGTACGTGGAACGGATGCTAGAGACAGGAGATACAGATGGGGAATTGGCAGCACTGCCACCGAATTATATGCAGTATAGCTCGGGGACGGACGAGCTGTTTTCGGATGAAGATGATATTGATGGGACGCCGGATGAGGATTTTATGGCTCTTTTACGGATGCTTACCACGGTGGATGACGGGGATGTTGTTATGGGAGAGGCTACGGCTACGGAGACATCAGCATCAGCACCACCACCGACGACAGAATCGAAGACAGTGGCTGGGTTCCAGATATCGGCGAACAAGGCTGCGCAGCCGACGAGGAAGCGGATGCGGGCTGTTGATATGTTTGCTGGGTCGGATTCGGAAGGGGAGAAGAAGTAGATGATAGCTTGCTGGGCTGTCTGGAGTACAAGCATACATAACCCTTACTATTCGTCTCCATGTCCAGCCCCTACTGCAATGCAACATGCAATTCCACGTTGTAGGTACCTACTACCTAAGCAACTCGATGAGGGGTGCAGTTGCCACTTCGGAAGTCGTCACGTCTTACGCACAGCCTTGTGATATTGGAAATACTTAATGGAAGCCGCAATGATGGTGATACTCAGCCGCTTGCTCTTTCTTGGCTTCTTCCGTCGTGTTGATGTTGGTTGCTCTTGCTCGGACGGGCAGACAAAAGATACAGGCGCGCCTGTGCGTTGAACTCTTGGCTTAGGCGGCTGTGGGATGGGTACAAGTTGGGAAAGAGTATCCAGGTACGTAAGCTTAGTCATTCAGTCTTAACCAATGAAAACCTGCTCAAACTGGTCCGACAAGACCGCACCCCACCACCAACGAAGAGCAACCCACCAACCCACCAACTGCCAAGTCCACACTCGGTCCCAGAACCGACGCCCATTCGTGATCCGAGTTTCAAACATTTGTTGAAGACGACAGACGGAGCCTCGAACAGTGCCTGTTGGACCCTGGCGTCCGCGGCTGGTACAATCGACACCACCTCGCTGGTCTGGCTTGTCTCTGTCCCGTCTGACCTCTCGGACCTTATGGGCAAGAAAGACGCGGGTTCGTCTACCGAAGGAGAACCCAGTTTCTCCTTCCTCGTTTATAAAGCGGCAGTGAGGCTGTTCAGGATCAAGGGTAGGCAGTCACTACTACCCAGCACCAGTACCACGGAAGGAGCTCTTGGTTGACACAGAAAGTGTAATATCAGAACTGAACTTGATCGTCCCTTGCTTTGGCTGCTACTACCTGCTGCATTTCAAGTTACTTCCGTCCCGGGCACACTGTCGCTTTGACCTGCCTTCCGTTGCCGCTGCCGCTGCCGTCGATTCACTCGACGGGACGAACTGCCAAGGGACAATTCACTTGTTGTTAACCATCTGAAGTCTCATCCTTTTACTTACTTCCTTTACAGTACAAGGGCCTATCTCTTCACTCGTCGTACATCCCCCAAAATATCAGAGGATCCACGGTGACAACTGCCAACGAAAGTGTCGACACTGTTCATATCTCCCATCACCTAGGTCCTCGCTGAAGAGAGCTCTCGGGGATAAGACTCCTCCACAGACATTAACCACGCAACCATAGCCAGCCAAAATCCTGGTCTGAGAATCCACCACTGAAAGTCCTGACCATATAAACTCAGCTTTGCAGAGTGGAAGCCGCCGCTGTCAGTCCGATACACGGTCCCATAGATCACCTATGACCTAGTCTCCTGAGTCCGTTGCCCAGGAACCGTTCAGGACCCAGAACACCCCCAGACCCGACCATTCAGAAGATCCAGGTACGACGTTGAGCCACGAGAGAGCTCTACACTACGAAAGGCAACCACGCGTGCCAGGGTGCTACCTCCCACCCAGCTCCTACCTTTACCAAGCACGTTTTACGCTCGCGGCGCACGAGGCCGAGCCGCTGGTCCCTGGTGACTGAGGTGACCGGGGGGTCCCTCAAGTCACTTTTCTCGAGCGGTTTCCACCCCTCGTTCATCCCTCACGAACTTTGAGTAGGGTCATCACTGGGAGAACGTACCATCAAGCCGCCAAAATGCCCATCATTAACGGTCAGAAGATGGCCTGGTAAGTCATTCTTTTCCTATCCTTTACCCATTCCTCCCATCTCCATGCCCCTATGTTTGCCATACTGGTATTTGTCATCCCACGGGCAAAGGGCTCCGGTGTGCCGTCGCACCAAGCTCATCCTTTCGCCACCTTCCGAAACCAAAGCCGGCAAGGCTAGCAAGACATCGATCTTCCGGGCTGTCTCCTTTTGGCTGACTTTGTTCTTCCTCCCCTTAGTGCGCCATGTATTCGCGGCCATCGTTCTACAAAATGTACTCATGCCACCGAGCGCGTTATGGTGCCCGTGAGGAAACCAGGACGTCCCCTGAGCCTTTGCGCTTGTCCAAATCGGCCCCCGAACTGCTCTTGCGGAGGCGGAGGCGTCAAGGTGGCGATTCCTCGAAAGCAAAAGTGCGGATGTGGTCCTGACCACAATGATGATGATGCAGAAGACCCCTATACGGCTGCGTCTTCTCGCCTCCATGCCTCCTCGTCTACACCGGTGCGGCCTGCTTTCAGGGTGACCAAATCGAGCTCCATATCGAAGCCGCAAAACCGGTATCAGTTGCCGACGTTTGATCTTAACTTGGCGGCACTCGGCCTGGCCGGACAGCATAATGGCGCCTTGGGTCCGAACATGGGGGGTGTCTCTGCCGGCGAACTTATCACGAGCGTTAATCCAACTGTGCAGCTACCGATTGGGAGTCAACCGGGAGTCAACTATGGGATGGGATATACAGCTGCCGGCGTCAATGACCGTCCGTTGAACCAACAAACGTTTTCCTCCGCGCACTCAGTGGGACACAACGGGATCGCTCCGTCACCGCCACAGGGGTTCAAGATTGAAAACAAAGCTCTCTCTGAGCAATCGGCTGCCTTCGCTGCTTTGCAGAGACAGCAGGTGATCGACCCCAACGGGATTACTGATGCCACTTTTATGGGACCGCATAATTTCCCTCGGCCTGGACCAGTGTCTCAAAGCAGTCCATCGACCACTCTTGGAGACCAGGGCTTCACTATTGAGCCCATGCCATGGAACGAGGTCAAACAGGACGTAGATGCTAACGGCGATGGAACGAAAGGATTGGGCATAGAGAGCAGCTCTAAGAAGAAGAGCTGCTGTGGTGGCAATAGTGATTCACGAGCATCCCAACAACATGCTAATGGCTCTGCTGCTGTGCCTCAGTCTACTTACGGAGAGCCTTCCCCAAACTCTATGCAGTTCAACACTCCATCTCCTCTAGAGCTCAAGCAACACCAAGAACTCTTACCA